AAATAAGTCAATAATTCTAATTTATTGAAGATATATTTAGGATGACAGAAGTTTTAACTTGATCTTCCTTTTCTGTCTCTTTTCCTTTGAACTATATTTGGTATCTTAAGATAAGTTTGGAGCATAATTGCCCTTGGATTGTCTATAGAGGTACAGCCAATAGATAAATAGGCTGGAAGGAATGGACCTGTTATTTTTCTTGTATTTAGACTGCACCAGGCATTTTCATTTAGAATATTGTTGTGGATCTTATGAATATTTTCTGTTTCATGATTTTAGTATCTTCTTCCTTTCTCCTCTTCATTAAGCCGTACTGATTCAAGACCCTTTCTCACTCAGCTATAGCTGCTGTCTTAGAAAAGAAGTGAAAGGGATTTGGCTAATTGGATTAGACATGGTCTCTAAAGCCTTCTCCTCTTACTCATGAGATTTGATTCTGCTGTTTTGATGGGAAATGACCTTCTGCTAACCTTGAAGTGCCATCTTAAGCCCTAGTATTAAACTGTCTCCTTTTTAGTCATTGCTTCATTCCTGTATCTGTGGCTATTTCAGACCAGGTTCCCTTGAACATGGAGTAGATGTGCAGTCCCAGCGTACTGATAAGCCCTGATCTCCACATCCTCTCTTCTCCCCTGCCTGGCATAAGTGAAGCTTTTGAATGTCTTGGGGTCAAAATGGTGTTGTATGGTGGGGTTTTCTTGCCATTTTATTGGCTATTTCTAGGCCCCCTGGTAAGGCTCTGAATCATTCAGACGTGGCTTAGAGAGAGACCTGGTTTGGGTTCTTTTTTCTTCTCTTCTTTGGGATGAAGGCAGGATAATAGAAAGAGGTATCTCTAAATCAAGTATCAGACCTGGAGTAGTAGTGGAAAATAAAACCAGTGCTATCTGAGGCTATTCCCTACCATATTTATTTTAGCGTATTTACTTCATGCATCTTGTATTACATAAACAATAGCATTTGTATTTAGTAAATGATTTATTATAAGTAGTTTCTTTTTCTTTTTTTTTTTTTTTTTTTGAGATGGAATCTCCCTCTGTCGTCCAGGCTGGAGTGCAGTGGCGCAATCTTGGTTCACTGCAACTTCTGCCTCTGGGTTCAAAGGATTCTCCTGCCTCAGCCTTCCTGAGTAGCTGGGACTACAGGTGTGCACCACCATGCCCAGCTAATTTTTTTTGTATTTTTAGTAGAGACGAGGCTTCACCATGTTGGCCAGGCTGGTCTCCAACTCTTGACCTCAGGTTATCTGCCCGCCTCAGCCTCCCAAAGTGCTGGGATTACAGGCGTGAGCCACTGTGCCCAGCCTATTATAAGTAATTTCTAATGAATAGTAAGAGGAACATGTGTGTGTTTTGACCTTGAAGCTTTAGATTTCTGTCAGCCTAATAGTAAGTGGTACCAGCAAATTCCAGAAACTGATGCTGGAAAAGCTCCTATGATGTATTAGATTTCAGACACATAAATTCCATCCTTTCCATTTAAAGAGAGCTCTATAGGGATACAAATCTCCTTTTAACCTTCCCACTCCTATGATAAGAATAGAAAGATGCAGTGTAGAATAGCGAGATGAAGAGAGTTAATGGAGAGGTGTTGCGACGTCTGTCCCTTTTAACGATCCTACACCTAATCTCTTTGTCTTCCATGTTGTAGCCAGTTTCAAAATACACCAAGCATGATTAGGGGAGTTAATAAAGCTAGATAATGAAATGGTGGTGTGTATGGAGTTTTACCTTAGAGAGGGATGACAGAACCAAAGGAAGGGAAGGTGGGGATGGAAGGGAGAGGAGAGATCTTTGGATGAAGAGATCTCCACCTTCTTCATTGCTCTCAAGAACCTGTGGCAGCTGGTTCCATCCAGGTGTTGGGCAGGGCAGAGTCTACCAAATCCCTGAACATGGTCATTTACAACTTGAGAAAGGCATTGTGGGTGATAATAAAGTATGTCTTAGAAGTTGAATTACAGCTTAAAAAATGTCGAGATTGTATTGTGTGAGGACAGTGGCAGTAGTGGTGGTGATGTTTTTGGTTTGGGCTTTATCATATTTTCCTTCCAGATTGGCATGCTCATCATTTTTAACGAGACACCGTCGCTCAGAAGTTCTGCGCACAAGAAAGATGTGTTGCACTTGGTCTTCTACACAGGCTGCCTGGGGCTAGGAAATAAGACCATGTGAGCCCAGAGGCCTAGGATAAAGCTTCTGTTTGCCAACAGGGGAAAGGGTGGGCAGAACGTAGGCAAGAGGAGAATCCAGGAAAGAGAGGAAATGTTTAAATTGTGTGTGGTGCAAGTGTGTGGTTTGTGTCTTTTATCTTCAGAGTATGGAGAAGAATAAGGAAAGCTGGCACTCTGCAGCTCCCAGGGACTAGAAGCCACTTTCTAAACTCTGTCCCTCTTTGTAGGCCTGGAGGGAGTTTATTTCTGCTAGTTTATAGAAGTCCTGTTTCTTACATTCCTGGGCCTGACTTTTTCCAGGGCCTCCTGTTGGCCAGTTCTGTGCCTTGTGTGTACAGTGCTTGACAGTGTATTTGTCTCGTCAGCAGTTGATACTTACTCAGAGGTGGCAGTCCTTTTCGTCAGTGAGTTGTGCTTATTAGCTCCCACAAATTTATTTGACTCATAGACTCATCCTTATCATCAGGTGCTTATTTTTACCTTTTCATACTTTTATGTGTCTCCCCAACATTTCCATTTAGAGTTTGAAAAACTGTCTTATAGATTCATATAAGTTTATAAATTTATATTTTGCCACATGATAAAATTCATTTTGCACCCAACACATGTACATGAGACACTTAATCAGCATGCAAGAGAACAAGGAGGATATCCTTGTCATAATGTCATGTGAGGTCCTGTCCCATCAGATAAATTAGTGTTCATTCAGAAGAATCTAACTCTTGCTTTGTAAGATATGCCCAGAAGATGGCTGAGGTACCCAGGTTTGCTGGTGTGTAACATGTTCAGTCTAGGAAGAATTGTGTGGCTGAAGATTTTAGTTTGCAAGACTTTGCCCCTCTCCCTCAAGACACTTAGATGAGGCCCTAAGACACGTCATTCTCCTCAGCAAAAGTTGCAGAAGTATACATGGCTTGAGGTGAAGAAGGGAGACCTTGGGTCACTAAATTCCCTGCAGAGAAGTGGATCAGGTCATTGCAGCCACCTCCCTCTAGTGACCCTCTTATATAAGCCGGAACAGGAATTCTTGCTACTGGATCCCTTTCATCAGGCATCTTAGGCTCGCTGAATGAAAAGCCCTATAAAAAGGAGATGTGGCCCTAATAATAACAAATACGATCGTGATGGCTATTTTGGACAAGAACAGCTTTGTGCCACTCTTGATCTCCATCGATGGCTGCCATTCTTGCCCTGCTATTACCTTACACACTTCCTATTCTTAGAATCAGTTGTGAGCCTTGGGCTTGGGGGATTGCAGCCCCCATGGCTGGAATGCCCAGCTTGAGTGGAATGCAGACTGTCTGGCAGAGTGGAGGTTAAATAAAGTTTGCCTTGGCAGCCCCCTCTGCTCTTGGATGAGTGACAAGTGACTCGAGTATAGGAGCGAGGAGCGATGGCATGAGCTGCCATGTGGTGCAGGATCAAACGAGTCTTCCACGCATGAATAGAAGTGGTTGATTGTCCATCCATGACCAACACAGCTATGTCAGTCTTAACTGAGGTGGGTGAAGGGGAGGCCTCAACAGCCTTGAACCTCAGCTTCTGACCATATCACTTTGAAAAAAATGCAGGAACAGATAAAGAATAGTGTTGAACCACTTTCTAAGTTTCCAGCTGAACTCCAGATTTGGTATATCTTCCCCCTCAGAGTAATTGACTCATTTTTGAAAGTAAGACAAAGGGAAAATTTTTCATTGAAATAAGAACAGTTAGTCAGTCAACCGTTTCTTGAGCACCAAGCCCTGTGGGAAATTTTTTTTTAAGTACAAGACACAGAACTCTTACAGCTTATAATTTAGTTGAAGAAGTAAAGCTATAAACACCTTTAAAAAGCAATTGTTACAGAACTACCTGCCAAAGGAGGTCTATGGAGAAGGAGAGCACTTCCAGCTGTGGTGGTCAAGGATGTCATGGAGGAGATGGGGTTGAAAAAGGTCTTGCCAGAAGCAGACTTGAGACTTGTTCTTCAGGCAAGGCGAGAAGAGGCCCTTGTTAGTGAGAGAACTGTTACGAACAAAGGGCAGATGTAGGAAATCCCTAAGACAGTCATGAGGACTTGAAGTCCAGGGGATATGGCTAGGGAGGATAGAGAGAAGAATTTGTGTAAAGATCGCCAGACCCTTAGTTCTAAAGGCTGTGTGTACATGTTACCAAGAAGGTTATGATGCTTCCCATCAGAGGAGAGATGAGAAGGTGTAGGTGCAGCCTTGCCCAGAGACCAAGGCCCTTTTAATGTTCTCTTCTGTAAAACCACTTGTACAGTAGGTGGCACATAGTGAACACTCAGTAAATAACACGATTCTTATTGTTACTCATTCTTCAAATTCTGTTACCCCAGGTTGTTGAATTGGCTTGGTTTCCATTGCAAGAATCAGTGCTGACTTTGTCCTGTTCTGATAGCTTATGTAACTGATGGTATCTTTGTCTGTTTGGGCTGCTATAACAAAATACCGTAAACTGAATGGCTTATAAACAACAGAAATTTGTTTCTCACAGTTCTAAAGGCCGGGAGGTTCAAGATCAAAGTACCAGCAGAATTGGTGTCTGCTGAGGGCCCTTTTCCTGGTTCATAGACAGCTGTCTTCTCCCTGTGTCCTCATATGGCAAAAGGGGTGAGAAGTCTCTCTCAGGTTTCTTATTATAAGGACATTTACCTTTGCCCCCATGACCTGATCACCTCCCCAAAGGCCCCACCTCCTCCTACCATCACCTTGAGGGTTAGGATTTTGACATACAAATCTGCAGGGGAACATAAACAGTCAGTCCGCTGCCTTACTATTTCCTTTCCTTTAGCTTTATCTAAGCTTTCGTCTCTCTTCTACCACAGGTGGCTAGAGGTGCAGGTAGCTAATTTAACAAGTCCACAGCGCTGGGTGCAGTACCTCAGGCTTCTTCAGGAGTCCATCTGGCCTGGTGGAGTTTTGCCTAAGTTTCCACGGCCTGTAAGGACCCAGGAGCAGAAACTGGCTGCTGAGAAACAGGCTTTGCAGAGCCTGATGGGAGTCCTCCCAGGTAAGTGGACCAATGAGATCAATTATACCAGTCACAGTTCCCTTCCATTCTGCTTTGCCACCATTACCCCTTCACCTTTTCCTGTTTGTAAAAGGGCCCTGCATGTGGCTACATTCAAAACTCTGTTGACCCATCATTTCTCAGGCTAATAGGAAAATGAACAGGGCTGCAATTCTTTTATCCCTTGCTCAGCTGATGCCAAGGGAATGGAAAAGAACTCTATGGCTGCACCCTAAATACTAGGTGACAATCCTGCAGATATTTAGATTAATAACTTTCTACCTGCAGGCAGGTTTGGGGAAGTCTGCCTGCAGGGACAGGTCTCAGAGCCATTTCCAGGAGAGGAAGACTTCAGATTCTCTGACAATTCATAGCATTCTGGGACCAAGGAAGAAAATCACACATCCCACAGAAGCTCCAACTTAATAAATTGCAGCCATTGAGTATGGTACATGGCCTTTAGCAATAAGTAAAAACAAAATCTGAGAGGGTTGTTTTTCCTTGCGTTGTATTTTTAGAGGGCCAGGAAGGCAGTTTGTTGCCTGTGACTGTGATAACTAGGAAACAGTTGTGAACTTAGCTCTGGACAATCAATTTTATTTACCCTTATCATTATAACTCTGTGTTTGCCAGCCTAAACTGTTACATTGGAAGGAGTACCTGCGTTTGAGTGACAGGTTACAAAATAATTTTTGAAGCCCATTCTTATGTAGACACCTAACTTAAGAAACAAATTTTTCTCAGGTTTTCCCTGTTTTGTGAGGATTTTAGTTTGGCTGTGTGGTTTAGAGGTATGCCCGAAATACCGAACCTATGTAAAAACGGCAGAGATCCTGGGGAGAGACTGTCCTTAGAATCTAAAACTTAAGTGGTAACACACACATTCCATCTGTTTTTTCCTCCTCAGATCTCGTAGTAGAAATTCTTGGGGTGAACAAATGCCAGGTGAGCTGGGGTCTAGTCTTGGAGTCACTACAACAACCGCTTATCAACAGGTAAGTGGAAAATGTTATTCCAGCATCAGCATAGTTAAAGCCATCTCTGATCTTAGAGGTATCCAAGGTTTCTGAGTGAAAAGCCCACATTCCAAAGAATAGGATTGTAGTCTTTACTTGGTCTGGGCACTGACTACAGAATTTGATGTCCAGATCCACACACTAAGTAAAACCCACACCATCAGGCTTCCAAGCAGATCTTCATGTGCTAGGAAGTCACTCTTGGACAAACCACCATTTGTGTTTGGAAGAACCCTATGCAGGCCCCCACATGAGCTGCTGAAAATGACCTCTTATCCTCCAGGCTTGTTCAGCATACTTGCTCAGTGCTCTTTCCAACATCTGCCAGCCGCTGTGAATGCTCCAAGAGCGTACCCTGGCCTGTGTGTCATAGACCACGTAAAGATGTTCACCATAAGCCCCTGGCCTCATAGCAAAGCTGTGATTCATGTCAGGACCAGGAGTTGTCTTTGCTTCATATCAGGTAGACAAGATAGTAAGGTTGGAATTTCATAAAGGGACCAGAAATGCTGGGTGAGGAGTCCTAGAATAATCCAGAAGAGGTAGATTCCATCCCGTGGGCTGTTACTCTTCTGGAAGTATTGAGTAATCTTACATTCAAACCCTACCCCAAAGCAGACTGTGTTTGTTAACTTCCTCAAGGATCCTGGCTTTGCCTCACTGCCTGTAAGGCAGCCTATAAATTTAAGGTAATTAATTATGAGAAACAGCAATAGTCAGGAGCTCTGAAAGTGTCTAGGAACCTGACATCTCAAGGATTTGTTATCACAGTTCCTCAGCGCAGTGCTAATGTAACTACGTAAAGAGAAATGGAATTTTATAAAACTTAGTCTTATGTAAAACTAGTCTTATATAAAACTGTTCTTGCCTTTATTAGGGCCAGAGGCTTTATTAGTTCAAAAAACATTAATTTCTTAGCAGAAGTTTCATCAAGCTATTGAAGTTTAGCATATCGGTGATGGGGGAGGAGAAAATAAATGTCATAAACAGGATCTTGTGTTTCCTGACTGAGCCAAACCGTAAGTTTTTTGCCCATTTGTTTCAGGCATTTGATTTACTGTCTTGGGGACATCATCCTGGAATTCTTGGATCTCAGTGCCTCTGTTGAGAAGTCTGCTGCTACCACCTCTGCCTCAGATACCCCAGGCAACTCCAAGAGGATGGGTGTCTCCTCTTAGCTGGTTATTCACGCATTCTTCCCAGTTCAGGGAAGTAGAGTTACTCAGCCACCAAAGACCAGTCAGGAAGCCTGTGCCCTCTACAGCTAAGAAGGCCTAAGTTCTCAGTGGCTCACTTCCCTCCCACTTCTCCATTTGTAGCAGATGGCAGGGGTATATGTGTCCCAGTTGCATGCACATTGATTTCCATGTTTCTTTTGGAACATTGGGATTGTTGCTGGTGAGTAGATCCTGTTTCCTTTGGGAAAAGAAGCTGTGAGGTAGAGGAATGAGCCCCTTTTGCTTCTCTTTTTGCCATCCTCCCTGAGATTGTTTGCCAGAATCCTGGCCCTGTGCACACATGTGCTGAATCCACCAGCACACAAGCTCTGGATAGAACAGGAAAAAAACCGTGGCCAGATTTCCTTGGAGGAGAAAACAACCTTCTGAGCTCTCTGTTCCTAACCGGAAACAAAAATTCATTCAGGGCCATTCTCACAAACCAGACTCCTGGGTCTAATCTAGTTTCCCAACAGTTCCAGAAGAAGGAGGAGGGAAGAAAATTTTTCAAGGAACTTCTTGCTCATGTGTTGCTGTTTCCCAACACATCAGCCTTATGGAAGATGTCATGAGGCTGCTTCCCTGGGAGGCTACACTTCTCCTTTCCAGAAGACTTCAAAGCTGACTGCCAAAGCTTCTGGTAAATCCACCCCACCCTTCACACCCTTTCCTGAAAGGCGTTTGTACCACACATTTTATTTATTGGCTTTTCTCCCAACCCCCTGCCCTAGAGCAATGGAGTTTTTGAATTTGTGACCCTCTCTATATCTTCAGCAAAATTGCATGACAAGCTGCATATTCAGCCTCAGTTTTTCCAAGGAGAAGGTAAAGCACTTGCCTCCTGTCTTAAGAATGCAGAAAGAGTAGGACTAGCAAGCCTAGGGGATGAAACCTCCCTTTGTAAGTCTTTGACAGAGAACTTTTATTATTCTGAACAGATAAGATTAGCAAACTTACAAGGAATAGCTTCTTATTTCCCGTTCCTTATGGTTATAACTAGTCTTTTAACAACACCAGCATGAAGGCAAAGGTGTTTTGTCAGACTGCAACATCTATTAGCAAGGCAAAGCAATTGGGAATTGCTGGAGAAGGATAAACGGTGATGGAAAAGGATGCAGACAGTCACAGGGAAGTGCTGTATATTAAACACATATGAATAGCCGGCAAAAAGGTGTCAAGGATGTCACTGGGAGCCCTTTGGCTTCACACTTGCCTGTTAGCGCCTTGCTTTCACTGAATTACCAGAGCCTGCCACTTGAAGGAAGGTCTTGGAGTTAGACTGATGAGAAGGCAATGGGGTGTCAAAAACAAGTATCAAAGTTCTCTTAGATTCTGAAGTAGGTGATGAGCACACAAAGTGGTTTGTGAGAGAAACTTGTAAAATCTTTTTACTTTTTTGCTCCTCTGGAGGCTTTTAACCCTAAATTGTGTCGGATTTATTTGGGAGGCTTAGGTGTGCAATTCTTGCCCAAAGGCAAGGAGATGAATGAGATGTCTCATGGCTCCTTCTAGCCTTAAAAGTTGACCATTACAGTGACTTTATGGCTCCAAAGTTCTTGAAGCATCTCCAGCCCTAGACTTTGACAGGACAAGGTTGCTCAGCATCTCTCCCTTCCGTGAGTACCTACAGGAGTCCAGCCAATGTATTAGAGCTGATCATTCAGCTCCTTCAGTGAGGGCTAAGATCCTGTTCTCGATGGGCATAGGGGGCAGCCCTGTTTTATGCCACTTTTCTCTCCCCATACCTTCCTTTCATGTGTACTTAGCCACCTGTGTTGCTTTGAATCTGCTGCCAGTTCTGGCTCAAATGTGGCACAAAATCAGTACATCAGACACACCATGAAATCCCTGTGGCTGTAAATTCTAAGGAATCTTTTGACACTTCCAGCCCAAAGAACTTATTTTTATTTCATATTATATAAGAGTCCCCACCTCTACTCCATGTACCCCAAAAAGATAAGCTGTCCTCAGATCCTCCTTCTACCCAGGAGGGAAATAATGGCTATTGCCAAGGGAACAATCAAAACTTTGAAAATGACCTGCCAATTTTGGGTAGCAGGTTCAGACAACAAGAGAGTAACAACTGGTAGAGAGCCACAGGTTCTGGAAAAGATGCTCCCAGCTGGCAGGGTGAAAAAAGGCAGGGAAGAATTGGTCCTGTGCTAATCCAGGAAAGTTGTTTTGTTTGCTTGTTTCTTGTATTTACTCGTGACTAAATTTTATTCATTTAAGTCAGAATTTTGATATTTGAAATAAGACTACTTTCCCTTTTCTTAATATCTATAAAAAAGACGAGGCAGGGATGCTGTGTTCTTTCTGTCCAATTCTAAATGTGATCCTTGCCATTGATTATTTGAATTCAAGAAAGCTGTACTTTTTCATCACACATAACTCACAGTTTCATTTTTACATTTTTGGATTAGACTTAATAAAACCTAAATGGAAAGTAAATTCCTAAACCTGAGCCTAGGAGCATGTATAAGTTTTAAAAACAATGCAGGCTACTCCAATTTCCATTTTGGAAATTTCCAGTTTACAAGGTGATTTTCTTATTGTTGTAAAGAAACACATAATGTGAGATCTGCCCTCTTAAGTGTACAGAACATTATTTATTTTGAGATAGTACATTATTAACTAGAAGCAGCACACTATTTTGTAGCAGACTGCTAGAGGTTTTTCATCTTGCATAACTAAAAGTTTATACCCATTGAACAGCATCTCCTCATTTCCCCTCCCACCAACTTCTGGCAGTCACTATTCTACTTTCTGCTTCTGCGAGTTTGACGACGCCTCATATAAGTGGAATCATGCAGTGTTTGTCCTCCTTTGACTGACTTGTTTCACTTAGCATAATGTCTTCCAGGTTCATCTGTGTTATAGCATGTGACAGAATTTTGTTTTTAAGGCTGAAAACCTTCCATTGTATGGCTATGCCACATTTTCTTTGTTCATTCATTGAGGGACATTTGGGTTGGCCCCACGCCTTGGTTATTAAGAATAATGCTGCAGTGAACATGGGAGTATGAATATTTCTTTGAGGCCCTGCTTTTAATTATTTTAGATAAATACCCAGAAGTAGGATTGCTGGATCATATATCATTCTGTTTTTAATTTTTTGAAGACCTTCATACTGTTTTCCATACTGACTAGACCATTTTACATTCCCACCAACAATGTACAAGAGTTCCAATTTCTTCACATCCCATCCAACACTTGTAATGTTTTGTTTTTTCATAATGGCATCTTAAAAGGTATTAGGTGATATTAGTATCTCGTGGTTTTGATTTACATAGCCTGGAACATTTTTGAGTCTTCCTGTGTTCTATCCAGGTTATTCATTTCCAGCTACTGCTCTTCCTTTGCTCTTAGCACCCAACACCAATTGTTAGGTCCTGGATGAAGTAAAAATATGTGTAACTATGGTGCCTGGCTATATGAATCAGGATGCTCTGGACAGGAATGAAATTATGAGGAAAATTTATTTTCTTTCATAACATTAGTATGTGAGTAGGTAAGCCCAGGAGTTTGGTGATTCAGCAACTCTGAGACCTCTTAAGGGGCCTGAACTCTTTCCATCTTTCTTCCTTGCCATTAATTAGGTCAGCTCTGTTCTCAGACTGCCTGCCTTCCTGGTGCTGTAGTTTCAGGCATCACTCCCAGAGATAACATTCATAAAAGAACAGGAGCATCTCTTCTGTGTTTTCTTCTAAGGAATGAAGGAACCATTTCCCAGAAGTCCTTCAAGAATCCTCTTCTAGGCCGGGCACAGTGGCTCACACCTACAATCTCAACACTTTGGGAGGCCAAGGTAGGGGGATTGTTTGAGGGCAGGAGTTGAATACCAGCCTGGAACACATCAAGACCCTGTCTCTACAAAAAATATAAAAAATGAGTGGGGCATGGTGGCTCTCGCCTGTGGTTCCATCTGCTAGGGAGGCTGAGGCAGGAGGATCACTTGAGCCCAGGAATTTGAGGCTGCAGTGAGCTATGATCACACCACTGCATTCTCGCCTAAGTGACAGAGTGAGACCCCAAATCAAAGAAAAAAAAAAAAACTCTTAAATGACTCATTGGCTAGAACTACCCACCTCATGCCAATCCACTGACACTGAGAATGGCATTGTGATTGGCTTTCAATAGTATTTGCCCCCAGAGATGAGGTCATCTTCCGTGAAGGTCAGATATCTACAGAAATAATTGATGTTAGCAAGAAAGAAGCAGAGAATGGGTGTTGATAGACAGTGTCTGCTCTAGAGATGGGTCATTTTGCCAACATTCAGCAAATCCTCTGTCTACTCTCAAAATGCCTGGTACCAGCTAATAGTTAACGTTTTCTGAGAGCATTACTTAGAGTTTACATATGTTCACTTATTTAACCCACAAATCAACCTTTAAAGGTAGGTTCTGATGTAGTGGGTTGATGCAAAAGTCATTGCAGTTTTGCCATTTTAGTGCAATTACTTTTGCACCAATCTAATATATCCCCATTTAATAAATGGGGAACATGAGGCACAGAGTGGTTATGTCTTACCCACAGTCATTTGCAAGGGAGTGATAGAGCCTAGATACAAATCATGTCAGTCTGCCTCTGAGCCTACATGTATAGCCACTATACTAAACTGCCGTTCTACCTTACAAAGCAGAACAAGACCAGGTTCTCACTTTCAAGGAGTCTACAGTCTAGTATAGGAGCCAGCAAACTTTCTCTGTAAAGGTCTGGAGACTAAATGTTAGGTTTTGCAGCAGTGTGGTCTCCATTGTAACTACTCAGCTTTTCCATTGTAGTATAAAAACAGTCGTAGACAAGTCATAAACAAGTGTGGCTGTGTTCCAGTAAAACTTGATTTACAAAAATAGTCAGCTGACCAGATTTGTCTCATGAGGCATAGTTTGTGGACCTGAGGTCTAGTGAGTTAGAATACTGCTTACCAAATTTTAATGTTTGTGTGATTCACGTAGGATCAGTTTAAAATGCAAATTTTGATTCAATAGGTCCGGAGTAAGGCCTAGTAAAAGTGTAAGTGCTATGCTCTGAAAATGTCAAGAGCATGATTATCACCCTCCTCTGCTGTTTGAGGGGTAGGGAGCATTTGGAGATGCCTTGTTGCAGGAACCTATTCAGCTAAGCTGTCCTGGCAAACCATACCTCCCACAGCTCCTTCCACACCGGCTGTTTGTCCAATCTAACTTTGCACCGGAGCAAGATGTGTTTTCCCAGGATGAGGAGAGGAAGATTAGCCCACGCTGCTGGATGTGGAAGGGAATGGGAACCAGGGAAAGAATGGTAACTGGGGAGGAAGGGAAACCATGATACTTTTGTAGTTGAAGGCCTAACTGGGCGCGCTTTGCCATAACTTGGCCCCTCTGCCTCCTTTCCACTGGAAGTGCCAGAAATCGCAGGGCAGCAGTCGCTCACCTCCCTTTGTAGACAAGAAAATGAAACCATCAAAGGGTGAATTTCAGCTAGCCTATTGCCATCACTCTTTTATGGTATAAAGGATGAGAGAGGCGGTGAGGGAGACATTGCCCCAAACATGATGTCCACATCCTAAGACTTGCCTGATATTTCATGTTACACAAAGACAACATTGACTGGTTTAAGAGAAAAAAAAAAAAAGGAAATCCAGAAGAATGTTTGAATTATCAAGCATGAAACAAGTGAAAGTCATCAGAATCTTTTTCCTTCTGTGACTTGGTGGCAACAGTCTGTAAAGCCAAGGCCACCGTGAAGTGGTAGGGGAAATTTAGGCACCCACAGTCACCTTGGCAGACACACGATGCTATTTTCAGACTTGTGGAGCCTTTGCGCTGCCTCCCTGTCATCCTCACCTGTCTCTGGTCTGAAAGTCCATTTTAACTCTGCTGTCTTGGAGGCAGAAACAAGCATGTGACAGGCTGCAGAGAATTACTCCTGGCTCTGATGTCTCTTCACCAGCTTGACAAAACCTGGTTTCTCCACCTGTCTGTACTCTCTAAGCCTTACCTGCAAGCGCGTCCATGAAAGCCACCACCGCACCATCTCTGGGATGCAGAAGGTTAGGAGGGAAGAATTAAAAAAACAAAACGAAGGTAACAGTATCAAGATCCAAACTTAGAAAACATTTCTTAAAGTGACATTATCTGCTCCTTTTAACCCCATCCCTTTGTCACCAGTGTTTGTTTAGGAAGTATAAGCTAATTTTAATATTAAAATGTTGTAGTGATTAAGAAGGTAAGTTTGTGAATAATGTATGAGTCATCCACACTTCTGTCTTTTTTCCCACCTTATGTTCCATGCTGCACCCTGTTATAAGCAGAGTTGACTGTGATTACTTCCAGAAACTTTGATTAACCCATGAGAGTAAAGACCTAGCTCGATAAACACAGAAGTCCCTGATTGCAGACAAAAGGACTCAAATATCAACAAAAGCAATGATTTGTTTATACTGTGTTCAACTGGATGTGGTGACTTGTGAGCATAGGTAATCAGCCCTTTTGCCCGCACCCCTGGGTGAAGAATCATTCTACTCCTGAAACTATCAAAAAGATTAACCATGAATGTTGATATGAAATACCTGCTTTTCATGCCTTGACACTAAGGAGAATATACCTTATTAAGGAAGGAAAAACACTTTTGGAGTTTACCTCCTTTACACATGCAGCTTGCATAGAATTCCAAATTCAGTGAGCTGACGGCAGGCCAGTTCCTTGCCACTTTATAAAGTTGACCCTCTGTTATCTATAAATGCAAGTGGCTTATTCAAGAATAGCAAGGGCAGCTTTCATTAAGGACTTGTGCATCTCTAGGAGAATCATATGGGCTTGGTTGGCAATAGAACATTTTCTTGGGGACAGAATGTATTATAGATGATTTAGGCAGGAGGTTAGATGAGAAAGTTCCACAAAAATCTAGGGATTTTTTATTCTGCCCAAACCACCATGTTCCTTCCTCCTTTCATTTTTTTTGTTCATGCCCTTCCTTCCACGTGGTAGATTACCTGCTCTCCTCCGGCTGGGCAGGTAGGCTACCTCTGCCCATAAGGACCAATTCAAGTTCCCTTTTCAAGAAGCACTGTCTTATTGCACCAGCCAAAACTCTCCCCACTTTCTTTTTAGTTATTTACACTGCCTCTCTAGTCAATGTGCATGTATATGAAGTCCTCAGTAAGAGATTATAATTCTTGAAGGGCAACAAACATAACTTTTATCTTTTTTAGTCCTATTATGTCCTTATGCCCCCCAACTATATGTATATACCTAGTGCATGATAGGTACAAAATAAATATTAAAGTTTACTTAATTAAAGATTGTTTATTTAAGAGGCAAAATTTGTGAATAAGTCTGGATCTTGATACTGTTCCTTTCATTTCGTTTATTCTTTTCTCCTGACCTTCCACATCCCAAAGATAGTGTGCTGGTGACTTTTATGGAAATGCTTGCAGGTAAGGCTTGAAGGGTGAAGATACGTGGAGAAACCACTGTAAACCTCTTTGAGATTAACCACTTATTTCAGTGGAGGGCACTGGCTAATTTGTACCAGACCTGCCCCAGACAGTTTTGTACATCTTGCATGTGGGTGGGGACCCAAAAAGTTTCCTTTTCAGTGAATCTATTTGGATGAGACAAAGAAATCTGTTGCTCAAATGTTTTCATCAGAGGCTACCCCCTGTTCAGGTGTGTACCCTGCATCCATGTGGGTTTGCGGATGGCATATGACATTTGCAGCGCCAGAGCTCATTGCCACAGATCAAAGGGAAGTAAGCATGCATATGTGGATGCAGCGGGAATAGCTGCGGTCTTTCTGCTGAAGAGCAGGGTTATATACCTCCTATTCGAAATCTGGAGAGGACTGAGGCAAGAGCTTGTATTGAAACACAAGCAAGCTCCACGTATGGTTTTGGACATGGAAGAAAGAGTACTCTTGGGGTGGAATGACTTAAGTTTTTAATAGGATTAGGATTTCTGTGGATTTTTCCCAAGTGATAGAAATTTTCTTCATCTAGCAGGCAGCCTCACCCAATTACATCTCTATGTTCATTTCTGAAACTCCTTTGTTAAAAACAAAACTAAATAGCAACAGAGAAGAAACTTTCTCAAAAAACTCTTATATCTGTCATTTCTCCTGTTCTCACAGAACTTCAAAATTGCTTTTTCTTTATTCCTTTTTTTTTTTTCCTATATCAGCTCATCAGTCTTTGTAGGTGACTTGGCTACCCCACTAATCTAATTGTCTTTTTGATAGTTAAATCAATATGGACACCAACTTAAGGCCATATGTTAACCTTAAATGCATGATATTCCCTGTACTTGATTCCACAATTGATATTGTGTGAGGGAAGTTGGCCAAATATTCTCTTCTGTGAAGTCAGAATAACCACCGACCCTAAGAATCAACATTTTGACCAATTCTTTATATGTTGCAAACTATTCACACAACTAGAAAGTTTAGCCATTCACATCTCTTCCCCTGGTTTTAAGTCCCAGCTTCTGAGACTCAGAAAATTTAGTCACTTGAACTTTCTGTGGAAAATCTGTTGTAAAAACAGTTCAGACATTGGAAAATATAAAATAGCCCCCAGAGATCCTGATAAAGCTTCCTCTCCCCAAATCCCTCTACAGGTTTATCCTTGAGAAAGTTTCTGAAAACTGATGAGAAAATACTGAGTAATTAATGCTGAAATGGGAAAGATGGTAAGTAAAAGCAAAAACCTGTTGATGGCATCTGTTCATATAGTTCCATGTGCCTTTTTACTCACCTGTACTGATAGGCAATGTAATGAAGTTTCCTTTTCAAACATAAAATGTAATTAAACAAAGCTTATCTTAAATTGGCTGGACCCACACAACTTGATTGAGACGTAAACAGCTGTCTTCATTTTGAAGCACCTACACTAGTCAAGCTTCTTTCTAACCTGCCCTTAGCGTTTGCCTGTTGGTCTGTCTTCCCTACTGGACTGTTAATCGCTTGGAGGCAGATTGTCTTGTTTCCCAGAGTTTTTCCAGCATATAGCATGGCAGACAATTTTCTCCTTATCTGTTCTATCTCGTAAGCCTCATCTAGTGCCTCCATCCTTGGGTGCATAGCCTAGTGACAGGCATGTAACAGATTTTGCCTGCAAGTGGTTGCTGAGCCATAAATGAAGTTGGCAACCTTCTTGTGGCAGTGAGTAACATATTTCTTTCCTCCCGATAGGCTTGGAATCCTCATCCCCATCTGGCAATTTTCTATCTTTTCTACACTCACAGTGGAGCCCACACCCCTCACAACCCCCTTGACTAAACCAGATGACAGCAAGAATGCCTAGTTCCAAGTGAGCAAGGGTGAAGCCTTAGGCTCTTGTCTCCTCCAGACCTCCTCTCTGCTGTGAAAATATACTGGGGGTGGGGGGTGGGGGGCGGGGGAGTACTTAACCTCAAACTGAGAAAAAGGATGTCCTGAGCAAGTTTCATAGCATAGCAGCTCCCATCTGAAATGTGAAGCTTTGAAGGCCTGTTGCTACAGTAACCAGCTAGCTCCTGACTCCAATGCCTGTCTAATCTAAGGTGGAAATGTCCCAGAAACAGACCCCAGGCTGGCAGCTCTTAACTATGACCCATCTCATAAGCACATATCCAGCTGTAGCCTCTTGGTTGCCAGGGTGAAGGGGCCTCCGTATCGCCACAGGAAAAAAATCTGATGAATTCTGGGCTCAGAAAGGGTGTTGCTTTTTTTTCCACTAACAGACTCTGCAACCCAGTCCCTGGTGAAAGGGCTCCACACCCACCCGTTTTGTGTGTATAATGCTGAGCTAAAGTGGGAAGGAGCAGTAACACCAAAGGAGGCTAATTCTCTTCCTGTCAGTAGGAGAGTCTGTGCCCCCAGTACGTGAAAAGGGAAGGCATGAAAAGGGAAAAAGCCTTCTGGAAGCACCTTCTTACCACAAGAAAACAGGTGATTCAGAGTATCTTCGAGACTCAGCCAGATTGTGGCTAACTCTTCAGGCAATAGGAAGGCAGAGAGGGAGCCATTTCAGAGAAGAGATTTTTTTTTTAAATCATTTCGTTCTTTGGAATTGTCACAGGATTATGATGTGGGTTCTCATAAAAATTTCCCTCACCCGAAACCCACCCAAAAGAAAGGCAGTGAAATGGGGAGGAGCACACATTTGCCTGGCCTCAGAAGAACTGCCTTGTAGTCATGGGTTCTAGTGATCTCGGACCAATCTCTTCTCTTTCCTGGACCTCAGTTTCTTCCATACAAAGAAGTTGAACTGGATCATAGAAAAGTCGCTGTCCAGCTTGGTAATAATCAGATAGGGAGCGGAAGCTGTCTCTTAGTGCATGGCCAGATTCCGGAACAACGGTGATGGTCCCATGTTTCTCCTAAAAATGAATCTCATCTCAGTAGAGATTTCTTCCACCTCATTTGGGTCTCAATTTAAGGAAGGAAGAAAGGAAAGAAACCTTGGGATTCTCTTCTTGAAAGGAATATACTTGACTTTATCTAGGCTTCTAGGATAAAAACTTCCTATCCTTCATTTTTCCTCTTTAAACCTGCCAAAATCAAGTTGACTAAAGATACTATAGAGATATGTAAAAGAAGCTGCATCCTTAAATTTTCATGGAGTCCAAGAGCCTGCTCACCACCAGTTAGCCTTTCCCAGGATGGTGGTGGCACTGATCATCCAAGTCACACTCTTATGTTCATGTCCCACAGCGTTTCCCATCAGCCATCTCATTTCATCTTTTCATCATTGCTCTGAGGAACAGACTTCACACATGTATAGGACTTTTTATATCACAAAGTATTTCATTTCCAATGTCTTATTTAGATCTTGACAATCACTGTTTAAGGTAATTTGGCAAGTTATTAATACTCATGTCCTCATTTTGCTGAAGAGGAAACCGAAATGCAGAGAATTTGTCTTCTGCCCAAGATCACTCGCCCAGTTTATTGGGAGGCAGCAGCACAGGGATTAAGAACATGGGCTATGCTGACAACCAACCAGGTAGAATCCCAGCTCTGCCAGTAGTTAGCTCTGTGTCCTTAGGAAAGTGATTTCACACTTCTGTGGCTTAGTTTTTCTTGTCCATTAAATGCTCATAAGAGTAGTGCTTTCCTCACAGAGATTGGGTGGGCAAGGGAGCTAAATGAGCTAATATATTTAAGAACAACCTCTAGCACACAGTGCATGATAAATGTCATTATTATTAGCAAAGCCAGGACCTGGGTCTTCCAGCTTCTAGCTCAGTGGCATTTCTTCTGCCCTACACCAGGACTATCCTTTATATACAGGTGTGAACCTAAAGCCTTCAGTGTTTCAATGAAAAGTTCACCCAAGGTCTTTCTGTTCAGTAAGTCTAGAGCTAAGGGCTCCTGGCACTCTGTTCAGTCCTTTTGCTGTTAAACCACGCTGCCCTCCGTTGCTCTGGGCAGAATGTCAAACCTTACGTTTTTAAAATTTATAAACCAAGCACTCTTATTTAATATCACTGACGGCCTGAAGGCAGACGCTCCCACTCTTCTGGGGAAGGGGGTCTTCTAATCTGCCATCTTAAGGAGAGAAAACGGCTTGATTGGGTAACTCACTGCAGTGGGCACATATTTATTACTGTCTCCCAGCCTGTTCTCATGCTGTTTGTCCACTGGAATTACCACTAGTGCCAGGCCATTTGAATATTTGACCATTGTCTTAGAGTTCTCTGAGTACAAATCTTGTTTTCCATAACTTTATTAGGTACTTTTTAAGAATGAAGACTATGTTGTATGTTGGTTTGTACTCTCTCCTGCACATCAAAAATGCTTCGTAAATAGATATACAAATGTTTCTTGATTCATAAATTGATTGACTGTTTGATGCACTAATGGTCACCTCTAAGTGGTTAACAGCTGTCTCTTCCCATCTCTTAGTTGCAAGTTTCAGATGATCAAAGAATGCCTAGGTGGCATTCAACAGTACAGTGCCTCAGTAAAGGTAGAAGTTTTAGGAGCTGTACATGCAAGAGTGAAAGAAGTTCTCTCTGCACCCACAGGAGGTCGTTTGCTACAAAGCCTCAGAACCTGGCCTCTGCCTTGTCAACCTGCATGCTGTGTGCATGGAAAAACAGGCCTGAGCCAGGGCTTACCCTGTCACCCAAAGTCCACTCCATGTAGTGTGCCTGAACCAAACATGACCTTGTTCTACAGTTAAAAACAAGTGAAAGTCATCTGCTGGGGTCACTTGGTAATAAAGTCCTGCGACAGAAGGGGCTCTGCTTAAAGGGCAGCTCAAATCCAGGCATTAAAATAACCTAAATGGTGTCGTTTTCTGATCAAATTCCTTTCCCTGTCGGGTTTGTGATTTTTGAGCCTGAGAATGTCCCTCGCAGCTCAGGTTTCTCTGCTGTCACACTGATCTCAGGCCTGGAATGCAAGCACTGGCCATTGAGGTCTGATGTAACTATGTCACAATCCCAAAATGGAGAGACATTATCTCATAGATGGTGCAGCAGTCGGGCACCAGTGTGTGGCTGGCAGGCACAGCTCAGAATGCAGCCCTGGGCATATTCCACATCCACAGTTCTCAGTGGACACAGGGTCTGATGCCCCAGAAAGTTAGGGTCTTGCACATCTCCATGCTCAGGAGTAGGGACAGGAAGACAGAGGCTGGGGTGGAGATGGGCTCACTTGTGGGCCAGTCCAGTTGGTTTTCAGAAAGGTGATTCCTGGTCACAGGGCCCTTGAGCACCTTGAGGGCTTAGGCAGAGTGCAGAGAGCAGCCATTCACATGAGAAGGCTCCACCCTGGAGGCAGCGCTGGAAGCCATCCTTCCTTAACTGGGCCTCTGGGGCAGGTGGGGCCTAGTGGCCTGTGAGGTAAACAGCCCTTTCAGCGCTTAGAGAATGAGACCTCAAGGGGAAACCATTAACCCTTTCCTAGAGTAATAGCATCAAAGTCCTAACCATGTTGATCATGAAATCTCATTTGAATTCAGAGGAGCACCTTCTTATCCAGCTTTGAGGAATCAGGCCACTTCCTTCCTTCTTGATTAGCCTCTTCACACCCCTTATTTCCCATGGCTCTTCTGTGAGATGCTTTTGTTCCAACCAAGCCATTGCCAATTAGGCCATGCCCACCCCTGCCGACTCCCTCTGCTTGCTCTTTCCTTGCCTAAACAGTCCCTCTCTCATTTTGCCTGGTCCTTTGCTCAAGGTCCACATTAAACTCCCCCTGCTCGCCCAGGCATCTCTGAGTGCCTGAGTCCCCATTTCTGGAGCTCCTTCAGAACCAGTATCTGCGCCATGCATTGGATTCTTGGCACACACCTCCTTCCACCATCAGTACCTTCTCTTGTGTAGATGAGTGCATGTCCCTTAGGAGTGTCCTCTAGCACAGACTGTGTTTTATCTTTGGGTACTCCCAGAGCCTAGCAATGAGCCTTGCACACAACACTGACTCTTGAGAATGCTCTTAAACTCTGAAGGCATCTTAGAATCAAAACCTAAGACCACATCCAGGAATACAGCCTCGTTCCCCCGTCTCCCAGTGTCCTTACACACCAAGCACATGCCTGAATGTGAAGCCTCTCATTTGCTCTTTCCTCTACCTGGCATGGTTCACTCCCCTACTCCAGTGTCTCCACACAAATGCCACCTTCTCAGGCTTTCCTGACCACCCTGTCTAAAAAATAGCATTCCTTATCCTGTAATGCCTATCCTGCTGATTTTTCTTC